ACGCTACTTTAGCTTAGCTGATGCTAATTTAGCTGTTGTCCTTGGTTCGTCCTGCAGCTGTTGACAGCTTTTATTCTGAAAGGATAACCCTCAAACAGCTGGATCAGGAACAAACCCTGAACCACGTGGACCTTGGAGTCCTGACCCGGACTGTGTTGGTCCTCAGCCGGGCCCAGACGGCCGGCGCTGCTCAGACCATCTGTCTGCGTTTTATAAACTGCTCATTATGAACCTCTGGGTCCAGAAGGACCAGGTCCATAATGCAAAGTGATCCGTCGGGTCGGAGGACTCGGCCCGCTGCCAGCCATTGTTCCAGGGGGGTCCGGTTCAAAGCGGGCCTGCAGTCCGCCCGTCTGGACCCGCGCCGTCCTCTGGAGTGTTTCCTGAGCAGGAAACCATCAGACAATAGAGCGAGTGGCTCGGTGTCGACAGGCAGAACTGGAGTCTGTCGGGTCCAGTTCTCGCTGAGGTCGGCCCGTTTCACGTGAAGAAAATCGAAAACTTATAAAATAAAATATTTTTCTAAACAAACGACGAGTTCCACCTGGTTCCAGACCTGCAGGACCTCAGAGGTTCTGGATCAACCAGGAGCAGCTGACCGGAGGTTCTGCTGCTCTGGAGCGGGCCGGTGTGTGTCAACACAACGCCAGGATGGAAAGACATCAGCAATGACTGTAAGCTACAGCCCATCACTCTGGAAAGGGTCAAAGGTCACCTGGACTTAATTAAATTCTTCAAATATGTTTTTTATTTACTCGGGCCAGTTTCCTGTTTACACCTTTGCAGCTCTACGGAACCAGAACCTCATCAGAACCTGAGAAGTCCCTCGTCATGAAGCACTTCCTGCTCACGGCGCTCCTGTCAGCTGGCCTCCGATTGGTCCGTGGGGTCACATGATGCGCTCTGTTCTGGTAAAGAACCAAAAAGACCAGTTGAGTTCCAGCGCAGTCACTCAGAACCCGACTCTGAGCAGAACCAGAACCTGAAGGTCCGTCTGGAAACAAGAACCCGGAGTCAGAAAACTAAATAAAATCTGAAGCTGCAAACTGAGAACGATGACTCCGTGCCTTTATTTTGGTAATCAGTTTTTACAGTCCACCTACTGAGCCGTTTTAGCTGTTTATAAAACCTTCGGCTCATTCAGGGTTTGATTTGTAGTTTTTGTTATTTTCAAAAATATTTTAAACTTTATTTACAATATTTTATCCAAAAAATACACCGAATTTTTTTAAAATTTCCTTCAGAAACTTTCCTAATCAGCTTCAGCTGCTTCGGCTCTGGTTTAGTCTTTTCAAGGTACTTTTAGCCTCAATATGGCCTTTTGCTACTTTTAACTACTTAGTCGTAGTAACCTTTGCTACTTTTAGCTAGCATTTTGCTTTTACCTTTTAGCTGTGGTTTTGCAATCAACTTCATGAGTCATTTTTGCTCATTTAGCTTGCAGCTAACATTTAACTACTTTTATGTAGCCTTTGGCTATTGTGAATTTTCAGCCAGCCTTTTGCTAATTATAGCTTTAGTTTAGCTTTGTTATACTTTAAGATTATAGCTAGCCTTTTGTTGCTTTGGTCTAGCGCTTTGCTGCTTTTAGCTTTAGGTGAATCTTTTGTCACTTTTAGCATTTACCTTTCAATGTTGGTTTGTGATTAGCTTTTTGTGAAAGTAGCTTTTTGCTACCTTTAGCTTTTATCTAGCTTGAAGGTTTTATGTGTCTGAGAGACCGAGTGGAAGCGGCTCGCAGCTTTGGAGCAGGGTTGAAACTGTTTTACCATGGTGGACCAGGTGGACTACATTCTGTGTAGGAGGAAACCTGAGGGACATGTACGAGGACAGCAGGACATGTATGAGGACAGAGGACAGAATGAGATGGAGGATGACTCACTGTGGACACCCCTGAAGAGGGAAAAGCTGAAAGAAGAAGAAACTCACAGAATCCAAAACGTCTGGAACATTTGCTGAACGTATCAACTTGTGTCGACTTTGAACAAACTCTTGTGGACAGAAGTCACAACGACCCACGAAGGTTAGCTCGTCCCGTCGGCGCTTTCAGCCGCCATGTTTTCTCGTGGACTTCGCTGTGGGGCTGTCGGGGTCATCAGGGGTCATCAGGGGTCATCCTGTAGATTCTGCTGTCTGTATATTATCTTGGTCTCCAAGTCTTCGATGGGACGCGTGCATGTCGTCTCTCAAAGAACATCTTCAAGCAAATTGACCTGTCGGCCACAAGTAGCTAAAGACAACTCCTGCCACCTTCCTGCCAGTGTTGCCAACTTGGTGACCCCGTTGCCAGGTCTAGCGAGCCTCTGGACCCTCCAGCGACGTGTAGAACAGCTGATACCTGGTTTTCTTACTGAGGAGTTGGCAACAGTGCCACAGCAGGCCAGCAGAGTCCGCCACAGACGGTAAGACCTGGAGGAGTGAATTCTGCCCCAACAGGAGGCAAATTTAACCGTCCTGGGTACGTGTTCTGACCCTGATCAGCCAGAGGCCTCAACCTGGTACCGAACCAGCCAGCCTCAACCAAACCCCTTCAGCTCCTCAGCGAGACCTTCCCCTTTAACTCATGACCCACCTTCTAAAAACAATCACTCATTTCCATAGTTTCCCTCCATACGGTCTACTGTTGGACTGAGCTTCCTGGTGTTACTTTGTTGTCTCGCCTCAAGTCAAGTCCAGGAACTGAATCCTGTCAAACCAAGACCCCCTTCAGACTCTTCAGTCCAAGCCAGTGTCCACAGTCCTCTCAATTCCAGTGAGACCCCTTAATTATGACCAGTACCCATCGTTTGATTTCAATTAAGTCTCACCTGATCGTTCAGGACCAAAGTCCGTTGGATCCGCGTCAGTCGCTGGCGTTCAGTCAGTCCTCTTCTCTGAAGTCCTAGGTCTGAGGGTTGGGCCTGGAGGTCTGTTCCAGGATCCATCGCGGACCAGTTCTGTCCGGACCCTCAGGAACCACAAAACGGTCGAGTGGACTTCATCAAGTCTTTCATTTGGATCGGTCCGTTTCACGGGAAGTCAAACCGTCTGCCGATGTCAGTTCTGATCCGCCTCCCCCGCCTGGCCCGGTGTTTTCCAGAACCGAACCGGGCAGCCAGGTCTCACAGAGACATCCTCAGTGTCTCTTGATGAGCGCCTCCACGTCTTCGTTCAGAAATTATAACTGTTAATACAAGAAGTACCGGACGCATCAGAACCCGAACAGCTGATCTGAAACAAGCAGAACTCCAGAACCTTGGTTCTTTAAAACCCGTTTATTGGACCCGACTGCAGAACCTTCAGGGTCCAGGAGCAGTTTTTACAGAAACATTCAGAAGTTATAAAAAACTTAAAAAGAATTCATTTTACAGAATTTACAACGTTTGGTCCGAGAGCTTCTGTTCACAGACCGGACCTGCGGTACCGTCCAGACCGGACCTGCGGTACCGTCCAGACTGGACCTGCGGTACCGTCCAGTGGGAGTTTGTTTCAGTCCGGTTCATCCAGAACCAACCCGGAGGATCTTAGTCCCTTCATTTACAGGATCAGGTTTGGTCCAGGTCCGGTCTCAGCGAGCAGATCTTCCTGTGAGGCCTTCAGGGTCCTGCTGCTGCGGGCCGGGCCGGTGCCGAAGGTCCGTTACCAAATCATGAGAACGACTTCACGTTCAGAACCGTCTGCATCAACGCAGTGCAAAATGTTCCGACTGACATTTAACTTTGGCATTTGGACCCGTGAGTCGGCGGTACCACGAAGAGATTCTGGTCCAGAACCAGAACTGGACCCGCAGGTTCCTGCTGCAGTCAAACAGGGAAACTGACGCAGCTCGACTGGTTCCGCTCGGTCCGAAAACACTGGATAAAAATCAAAACACATAAAATATCCTGGTTTGAGTTTGAACCGGGCCCAGTAGAACCTGGACCTGGTTCACCCACCAGGTGGTCATAATGTTGTGGCAGACAGCTGCTTCAAGTTAAAACGTTAAAACAGGAAGTTTGGTCAAAACTATACATACAGGCTCCAACACACCCAGACCAGGACCGGACCGGACCGGACCGGATCACTTCTAGATGGATTTATTTTCTACAACATTCAGTTTTTTTAAAAACTGGGTCTGAAGACTCTTAATTTGACGGGACCTTTTAACTTCCTGTTAGTGATCATGATCGACTGGTTCTCCTCAGAAGAAAACTGGTCCTGATGTTCAGGAACCACGAAGACTACAGCCAGTCATGAACTGGAACCTGTCCCTGTCCTCCAGAGACCCCGTCCTCCAGAAACCCTGTCCCTCAGAGACCCCGTCCACCAGAAACCCTGTCCCTCAGAGACCCCGTCCACCAGTGGACAGTTCTACACCATCATGGACTGAGAGGACCAAAACCTTTTGAGCTGGACTGAAACCTGCTTCTGTCCATGTGGACGAGACAAATGTCTCCTGTTTGGTCTGATGAGACAAAGGCCGAGACAAGAAGGACATCTGGAGGACTCGGACCTGGGGACAGTGACCCAGCGGCCAGGCACGGTGGTGGCAGCATCATGCTGCGGGACATGAAGGTTCTGGAGGAGTTAACCCAGAACCCTGGTTCTCTGCTGCGGAGCGGCCCGATAGAATCCCACCAGAACCTTGATGCTGGGACAGAAGTCCTGAGGTCCAGTTGAGACGGGCTGAGGGACACTGAACAGAGGTGTCTGTAAAGTTCTGACCCGATGAGGATCAAACTTTTTTTAAATCCTTCCTGGAGGAGGAACCGTTAATCGGACCTTCAGTTTACATCAGAACCTTCGATCAGGACGGGTCCAGAGAATCCCACCAGAACCTTCAGCTTCTAAAACCCAAACTGGAGGAAAGGAGACTCCGTGAGAACCAGGTTCTGTTCTCCTTCTGATCCGACTGACTGGGTTCAGCCGGTCCGAGCCTTGGACAGAACCTTCAGTTCTGACCCGGCTCCCGTCAGAACACAGTTTGGTTCCACGGCCCAGTCGGAGCTCCGCTGAACGCTGCCGGTTCTGCTCTCTGTCCCACAAAGTTTAAAAACTGGACCTCTGTCCCCCGGTGGTCTCTGCAGGGACACCAGGACGTCTCAGAGGAACCGTCCAACAGGATTCAAAGTGCGCTGGTTCGACCCCTCTGTGGCGGTACCACGGCAGGCCCGCTCCACGGTCCAGAACTTCTCTTCCTCCCGCGGGTCGGGCTCCTCCTACAGCGTGGCCAGAACCCGTGAGAAGGAGACGACGACGGAGAGGAAGGTCTGCCCCACGCCGAGCACCAGCGCCTCCAGAGGAACCATCCCCTTCCCCGCCATGCGGTAAACGCCCGCCACCGCCGCGCCTGCAGGTAAACAACAAACAGATAAACAAACAAACAAAAAGTTAAACGGATCAAAACTCACCACACCTGATCCAGAGTTCAAGCTGTCAGAAACTAAACATGTCTGAACATCAGCCGAACAACAGCTAAAATCTGTGGAAAAAGCTGGAACCAAGTTTTGGAAGGAGCAAAAAACTAGCTAAAAGCTATAGGAAGCTAAATTCTGGTTAAAAGCAGACAAGCTAAAAGTTGCACTTGGCCAGCTAAAAGCTAAAGCTAAATGTTCTCTAATCTGTAAATGTAGCAAGAGGCTAGGTCAAATCTAAAAGTGGCATAAGGCTAGCTAAAAACTGAACGAATGCTAAAAAAAGCTATCTAATAGGTAAATGTAGCAGGAAGCTAGGTTAAAGTTAAAAGTAGCTAAAGTTTAGCTAAAAGCAGCAAAAGCCTAACACTAAACGCTAAGTGTAGCATAATAAGACAAAAGCAAAGCCAGCAGCTGAAGCTGAAGGAACTGAAGCGATGGGAGGTCTTTTTTTTTTGGGGGGGGGGGGG